ATAGATGAAGATGAATGTGAGAAACTGTCTTCTTATCCTTGCGTAATTTCTCATCCGCGATCAAAGTTGCGGGCATCTTTTCAATTCCCAATAACGCATCATCCAATTCCAGTTGTACGAGTACCGCTTGAATCTTAACTTGCCATAGTGGAAAACTAGTGGTCCGATCCAAATGCGGAATGTCATACTTCATGGAAGCCATCACGAACAGAAACTTCAAACAAATCAAACATTGCACTCTTGTGGAACTGCTGAACTTGGAGATCTAATACCACTTGTTGTAAAATAAACAAGATACTCTGATACAAATTGTTGTGAAACAAACCACCGAATTGAGATGTTGAAATTATATAGCAAATAATAATGAATTATATGATCAAGAAAAAAATAATAAAGACAAGAATATGGCAGAGAAAGTAAGAGATTTTATTGACTCAAGAATAATGGAGAAGAGAAAGAAATTACAATAGATCCTATAATTCTAGTAATCTATTTTCTCACCCTTTTAAAATTGTACAGAAGAGCCTAGTATATATAGGGAATATGTAAGGGACATCCAAATCCTCTTGGTAGAGTTGTTGATGAAATGGGACGCCAAAAAATCGAGTCCAAAATAAAGTAGGAGAGAAAACAGTGAAAAACCCGAACAACACCGGTGGCGTAGCGACACCCACTTCTAGGAGCCGCGGCGCCCATGCCCAGCGCTGCGGCGCCGGGCAATCTGTCTTTTTTAAATTGTTTTCTCCATCAAAATTCTTCTTCAAATCCAATACCATATTTTCAACTCCCAATGGATTTCCAAAATAGAACTTCAACTTGACATAAGACTCAAATAGCATTCCAAACTAAATTCTCCTTGACGTGCACTTCAATTAGAATTCTTCAAATATTTCAACAAAGAATTCGAGTCACACCCAAATTCTAACAAATTCAATTATGTATTCACAATTCTTACACTTTATGCATATGTATGTATGTTGGTGACTTGGGACAAACATATGACTTGAATCAAACACTCGAGCATTATGTGGTGAACCGAAAGGGTCAAGCAATGCTTTTTTTTGGTGATCTTTCATATATAGATGATTATGATTTCCATAACAATATGAGGTGGGATAGTTGGGCAAAATTCATCCAGAAGAGTGTTGCATACCAGCCATGGATTTAAACAGCAGGAAATCATGAAATCGACAATGCCCCTGAGATTGTAAGACTTTTGCTCTTAATATTGCTTAATAATTTAGAGTCAAGAACACCAAATATGCCATCGATCTCTGATCTATCCGATGCATTAATTGAATCATACAAACCAAAGTAAATTTATACATATTCTAACGTTTTTTAAACATTGTTTGAACAAATTTTTATAGGAGGAAAACGCTCCATTAAAGCCGTATATACATCATTATCACGTTCCTTACGCGCGTCCCAAAGCACATCTCTTCTTTTGTATTCCATTAAGCATGCTTTGGCCTAAATTATTGTATTGTCTTCTTATTCAGCTTATGGTAAGTAAACATTGTTGTTGGGAACTACTCTTTGGACAAGAAGAAAACTAGACCATTTTGGTTGACTAAGCTATACCTTCGGAATATCCCAAAAGGGAAAAACTCAAAATACATAATAATTTGTTTGTCTATAATTTTAGGTACTTATGCTCTACAATATAGTTTAACAGGAATTCCCAAAAGTGAACAGGGCTAAAACTCCATGGCTCATTGTTCTTCTTCAATGGGGAGACGTGAGAGTTATGGTTAAGGACGAGATGTTAGGAGGTAACCCCCCAGAGCACCTAGACATAATTGAGTTCGGCTTGTATTGTCAGTCCATTTTGGATAGGTAGAGTGGGAGCCTACTACCACAACCAAAGCCAGAAGGTGAGTTCGCAGACGAGGTAGGATGAGGCCGAGCCGGAGCCCGAGTATGAGTCGAACCCTGAGGAAAAGACTGAATCAGAGCATGAGGAAAATTTTGGGTTGGAGTTGGAGGATAATCTTGAGCTACAACCTGAGCTACAAGTCGAAATAGAAATAGAGTACGGGCCTACAACAGAAGACTCCTTAGAAGACGAGGCTCCACAAAAGAAGATTCACAGGATTCATAGTGGATAGAAACTTAGATTCTATTTCCTTTGTTCTATGATGTTTTTTCCTTTTCCTTCGGTTCAGAAAGAAAAAGCTTTATGTTCATTGAGATTTAATTATTCAATCAATTGTACGTTCTAGTTTCAATGATTTATATTGATGAAATTTTGTGTGTCTTTCCCTTTGAATATATTGAGTTATGTTGTCCAATATTTCTAAGACAAAATTTAAATTTTGTTGATTTAAAGGAAATGGCATGACAACATGACCAAGCAGATATGTTCAGGTATCTTTTGAGCCAACAACACGGGTTCAATTATAGATCAGTTCCGTCATTTCAAACATCCTTCTTTTGATGGAAGAGCTGACCCTTTAGCAGCCGAGGAGTGGTTAAGAGGATTGGAGCAAATCTTCAAGGACATAGAATACACTGATACCCATAAAGTATTATGTTTCGAATTTATTCTAGTTGATGCAGCAGGCTACTGGTGAGAGTCTGCTTCCCGCACTAGAACAGCAGAACAACAACGTGCTATGACTTGGGCACAGTTCAAGGAGAAAGTAATGAAAAAATACTTTCCCAATCCTTAAGAGATCGAAGAGAGGCAGAGTTTCTACAACTGAAGCAAGGAAAGATGTCGCCTGAAGATTATGAAAGGAAGTTCAAACAGCTTTCCACTACACCAAAAAGGATCATTTGCAATACTAAAAAGGCAACACTCACTAGTAAAATGTTGCTAAAGGGGTCTATTGATACATTTTAGTGAGTAAATGTTGCCATTGGTTAATATAAATGAACTTTGGCAACGTTTTTTAGAAAAGTGTTGCGACAGACCCCTTCTTGCAACATTTATTGAGTGTTGCATAATGTTTTATTTTTCGCAACGTTTATTAAACATTACAAAAAGAAAATCCTTTTGCAACGTTTGTCAAACGTTGCAAAAATTCTACTTTTGCAACGTTTATTAAATGTTGCGAAAGGTTTTACTTTTGCAACGTTTTTTGAACGTTGCGAAAGGTATCACTTTTTGCAACGTTTATTGAATGTTGCAAAAAGTGAGACATTTTATTTTTTGCAACGTTTATTGAACGTTACAAAAAGTAAGTTTTGACAACGTTTATTAAACGTTGCAAAATTTTTTATAATTTTTAAAATTATACACGGGCTATAGAAACCCAAATTAACCCAAACCCTACTTATTCACGCCTCCACTACAACAAAAATATTGAAAAAATTAATTTACAAAAGAACCCAAACCCCAAACTGTATCATTCACTCGTCCCTCTCCATACTCCATTCACGCCTTCCCTTTCCAACAAAATTCTCTAACCACCAGTTCTCCGTTACTGCCGGCTGTCCTCGCTCCTCCATCATCGGCCTATCTCTTTTCTTCTTTGGTATGTCTCCTCTTCTATATTGCTTTTCCCCATTTTGGGACAAACAGGGGAAAAATGAAAAAAAAAAAAAAAGTAACATCACATTAATACTGCCATCCCTATATTCTGGGGAAGGAGAATGGCTAGAAAGCAAGTGGTTGGCGATGGCGAACTGTCGAGCCTCGTCGAAATATCCAAAAACAAGCTTTACGATGTTATGTCACAAATGAATGCACGTTTCTGATTCATCACACTCCAAACTTAGTGCATTTTTAACATTTTTTCTTTTCTTTTTAATCTCAAAAATTAATTGTTTGGGAGAGGGGAAAAAATGAATTTCCTTGTGTCCTATTTTGAAGTTGTGATATTTTCCTTTTTGATAGATCTTCATTCTTATTTTTTGGACTGACATTTTTTGCTTATACTTGAACATTAGTGTTGTGAGAACAAATTCTGGATGATATTATGGAAGACGTGGTCTTGGGAATTTGAAATATAACGCTGTGTTTTTGTTGGTTATTTTTTGGACTGACGTTTTTTACTTAATCTATGTTGGTTAGTTTTAATGATTTATGATTTCTGTAAGTACCACTGTTTAGTTATACCCATATCAGGTCTTTAGGAACGAATTTATGCAAATAGTTATACATGTAAATGGTTTGTTAACATGATATTGACAGAACTAGATCTTGTTAAGCATCATGAATATGGCAGGGCTTTTCTTTGGGCTTTGTTTTCTTTGGTTTTTGAATCAAGTTATTTCTTATGATTTTCAATTGTGATAATCAAGTTTTGGTGTTATTCTCCGTGCAATGAATGAAGAGTGTCTGGTAGTATGGAAGGTGGTGTCAAGGAGGTAAACAAAATTAATGATTTTTTATTTTTGAAAAAACATGAATGGATGTCTGTGTGTAGGCTCAACTAGGAATTTTTTGTGGACAAGAGATTAGGAATGTGACAAGCTATGTGCTTTCAAGCAGAGTACGCTAATTCTCGATTTGTTAAGGGCTTGGCTCGAAATGGTTCTCTACCAAGGGGAGAAGATGACAAAGATGGCCATTATATATTTGAGCTTGGAGAAAATTTTACTTCTTGCTGGTTTTTTAAATGACTTGGTTTTGGAAAGTTGAACCTACTAAGGTTCCTTGTTTAATATATAGTTCTTTTGCATATGAAATCACTCTCTCTAATTGTTGTATTTCTATGATACATTTGTAGATAAAATACACAGCAAGATAGGTGAAGATAAATCCCTAAAGTAAAAAGGGATGGAGTCATTGCTTGAATTGGGAGTGTTTCCTCATATCTGTTTTCTAAATCGAAATTTTGTACACAAGTACTTTTGGTCTGGTCCTGGAGTGCTAAGATCGATATTTGAATATACTTGATAGTTTTCAAACTTATATTTTGTAGGATTGAAGGCACAGAAGAACTCGAGCTGGTAGTGTACAGATAAATTCACAGCATAACTATAACAATGATAAAGGCGACAACTTAGATCGAACGTTCGATAAGGAAGGGGTTTTTTCTTCCCAAAAGATGCTAATCTTACTGCACACATTTGAAGGGAGTATGGTAGACATAAGTCACAGTGTGAGGTGCACAGAGTGTGGCAGTCAGTCCATTGAAGACTCCCAAGATGACATTGCTATTCTCCTTCACAAGGTATATCTATGTGGATTCGTTTGGTGAGGAGACTGAGGAAGAGAAGAAGGATGCTGAAAAATGTGTTGTAGGTGTGAAGGCATCTAGAAAGAAAAAATAGGGTAGCTTCTGTGTTCCGTTTATGTTCGAGTTTTTCCATTACTATTTTATTTCATTTTGAAACTTCTTTTTATTTAAGTGGTGTTGTATCATTCTAATGTTCAAGTGTATGGATTAATAAATTTGTAATGAAATTATCAATTTTTATGCAATTCCAAAATTTGTTCATAAGGCGCATTTTCAATTTTGCCAATCAATTTGAGTAAATTGCTGTAAAAAGTAATAATAAAAAAAAATCCCTACGGCAACATTTTTTGAACGTTGTGAAAGACAGTATTTCGCAACGTTCAGAAAACGTTGTTGTAGATCTGTCGCAACGTTTTTTGATTGTTTTTCGTAACGTTTAAAAAACGTTGCGAAAGGTCTAAAAAAATTTGCCGTATCTTTCTACTCTACGACAACACTTCGATTTGCAACACACGTCCAAACGTTGCCGTAGACTGTTTTTGTTGTAGTGTTCTAGGTATGCCCCTCACCTCATGGACACTGAGGTTAAAATGGCTACGAGATTCTAACTGGGATTGCGTCCAAATATTGGAGGAATCATGGTATCCTACCATACCCAACCTACAGTGAAGTACTACAACGTGGTCAGCCAATCTCTGATCGATTGGAAATGAATAAGATGATTGAGCAAGGTAATGAATCTTTTGGGAAACGAAAGTGGAATTGGTCGAATATAAGGAAAGGATTCGGACAAAACAAGAAAGACAACACATGATCGGGGTCAGGACCAAGCAAACAAATAGGGCTATTCTTCCATCCCCTAAATATAATAAGGGCCATAGGGAAGAATGTTGGTTTGGAAAGAATGTGTGCTATCGATGTAGCCAAGCAAGGCATACCCACCTAAAAGGGACTACGAGCAGAACAAAAAAGGGAAAGCTCTGTCTTTGCTTTGACCCATCAAGAGGCAACAGAGGATCCAAATGTATTGGCATGTATTTGTTCGCAAAATTATCCCACAAGTGTACGGGTTCGTTGTACAAGTAATAGTTGTGATGAGTAAGTTATCGTCCCACAGGGAATTGAATGTATTGGATTTCCGAATCCACTACTTAAATCTAGAATTCAATTCTCAACTTGTGATAATTAATTCAACCCTTGCATTCGTGACGATCGATAATTCCACTTTTATTTATTTTTCTTTTCCAAGATATAATAAACCTATGTTGACCACGACAGGATCATATACCTAGTCCACATTTATATGATAAACATGCATTAAATCATGGGATTATCACACACGATCGCACACTTCACAAATATTATTCCTAATATTTATTCTTCATGTGTTCCATTTACAGTGTTCTACCTATCGTGAGTTTTCCAACACTACGAATAAGCAACGTATTGTCCTAATGGTGCGCAAACATTAAAATAATATGAAAAAGCATGTATATAAAATCNAATGGTGCGCAAGCAATAAAAAATATGAACAAGCAGGTATATAAAATCACAACGCAATAAATAACTAAAAATCACAAGTCTTGAATTAAAAATAGAAATCAAGTAGTTTCATCATCTATCCAATACAAATAAACTTAGCCTAGCATATTAATATGAAAATTACATAGAAAATAAAAGAAAGCCATCACTCGAATCATGTAAATAGGAAGAAAATCTAGATATCTTCGCTTCAAGCCTTCGAAATTGAATCCAAAGTGGTGAAATCCTCCTCCTCAATGTAATTCTCTCTCTTTTGTTCTCAAAAATACGGCTCCCAGTCAAAGTCCACGGAATTCCCCTAATATTCTCCCTCAAAGAGTGCCCTAAAACATTACCAAAACGAAATAAAAGAATTACAATTTTGTCCCCATTTTACATTGAGACGCACGCCTAGTAGAAACTAGGGCACGCGCCTTAGCCTTTAGGTAGGCCTCAGTCAAGGCTAATTTGAAGTGAGGTGTGCGTCTCGCCTGTTAGGCTAAATTTTGGCAGCTGAATAGTTCTCGATATTTTTGTCATAACTTTCTCTCTCGATATTCAAATGAGGTTATTCAAAATGTATTCGAAAGATAACTCGGAGGGCTACATCTCTTGTAGAAATATCATTTTTCTAATTCGAAAGGTTGCTATGCCAAAATTGGGTCTCAATGTGAGCTTGAAAATCTGAAGCATAACTTTTTCGGTTGGAAATTGAATGTGATAATATTTGGACTATATTTTATCCCTTTCACATCTTTCCTCATCCAATTGATGTCTAACACTCTCACATCTCTATCACGAGGTTCGATGTAACTTTTGAGTATTTGCATTTCCGTCCCTGAACTTTGTATTTGATACAATTGAACCATTTTCCGCTATCTTTGCATTCATTTCTCCAATTTTTCATCAAACATTGAGTTTTACCTACAAAATGAAATATAACACAAGTTAGGTAGTATTTTATCCAAGAACAGTAAAATATCTTCATTTGGACCTTAAATAAGTGTAGAAACTAGACTTATCGCACCCCCAAGAGTTTCGATTCTTCGCGGCGGGAGTTAAGATTTTAACTCGCATTGTGTCGTCTATAAGGATAGAAAAGATGTTGAAGAAAATATCTTTCTGGGGATTTCTAATGAATATATCTGGAACCCAACAATCGGAGCTTCATCTCATTTCGATATCGATTGTACGAGATTTTATCGATGTGTTCCTTGATGATTTGCCTGGTACTCCACGCACTCCACCAGATACTCCATGTAGGATGGTCCCGAAGGAACTACAAGAATTGAAAATACATCTGCAGGAATTGTTGGATAAAGGTTTCATCCGACCAAGTGTGTCTCCTTGGGGTACACCGATTTTGTTTTTAAAGAAGAAAGGAGGTTCTATTAGCACGTTTCTTACAAGGCATCCCAGAGAACATCTCATCTTTGATATTCCATTAAGCGTGCATCGGCCTACATTATTTTACTATCTTCTTATTCAGCTTATGGTAAGTAAACATTGTAGCTGGGAACTACTCTTTGGACAAGGAAGAAAACTGGACCCTTTTGGTTGCCTAGGCTACATCTTCAAAATATCTTAGAAGGGAAAAACTCAAAATACATAATAATTTGTTTGTCTATAATTTTCAGGTGCATACACTCTACAATATAACTGGCTTCAACAGGAATTCCCAAAAGTGAACAGGGCTGAAACTCCGTGGCTTATTGTCTAGTTCAGCGTATCAAACTCAACCTTAGTATTTTTGCTTCCCATGCATGGATATATGATAATGCTTACAAAATGATTCTATGAAACATTTGTACATAACATGTGTCTGCTAATTAACTTTGATTTATAAAGTAACAACATTTCACAATTCTTAATTAAACAAGTCCAAATTTAATATCTCGAACTTTTTTCCCCATAGCTATCACCCCATTATATTTTTGAAACCTTGGCTGTCTTCCCATTTGAGGTGTCAAAATGTACAGGGAACATCAAGACAAGAGATGTTAACTCTCACTAAACATATGTTTAATTAAATGATAGAATTTCAACGAAATGTAATTCTTGTTTTTTCATTACAGGAAAGAATATCGAATATCAAGTACAACGTAACAAACAATTTAAACAATCCAGTGAAAGATGCTTCTGCTCCAGTGTACATAACCATTGGTGATGGTAGAAACATCGAAGGCATTGCTAATAAGTGAGTGTTTCACATTCTATTACTTTCACTCATCATGTGCATGAACTCGTACACAAACACATTAACCAACAATGGACGACTATAACCGTGTAATTTATAATGCAGCTTTTCAGAACCACAACCAAGTTACTCAGCTTTTCGAGAAGTAAGTTTTGGGCATGCAATTCTTGAAATAAAGAATAGGAATCATGCCTTCTACACTTGGTACCGGAACCAAGAAAATGAGCCAATTGCGGCTGATTCTACTTGGTTTTACAATAGATATTGGTATCCACATGAAGAGCCATGCTCCACCAAGAACTAAAAAAGGGTTTTAAATATGTTTTTATAAAAAAAGAAAATGTAATAATATTATGCCTTTGCTAGTTTTTCTTTCTCCCTAGCTCTTAGAAATAGGTTGTTTTAATTCGTCCTTTTATTTAAACTTTTCAAGCGTTATTTATTATTCTCATGCTTTTTATTGGTTAGATTTGTCAAATATCATCTTCTACATTACCCACAATTTAGTGTTCTTTACTATATATTAATAATGCATACTCACATCAATGGCACAATAGAAATAGAAGCAGGGGAGGACCCAATGATTTGCTTGCTTTCAGCTGCCCAATTACCGACTTTAGCTTTCAAAAAAAGAAAAAGAAAGGGGGTACTTACAAAAATACCCTTAAAATTAGGAGTATTTTGAAAAATCATGTAAAAGATTTTTAGGAAGTAAAAAATACTGTGTAAAATGAAAAAAGTGACACAATGTCACTTTTTTATAAAAATTGTCATTTTTTTGAAAATAAAAAAGGTGACATGATTCAAAAAAAGTGACTCAAAAAAGTGACAAATACTTAAAAAAGTGACAAAACATCAATCAAAACCTATGTTTGTTATTCAAAAAAGTGATAGAAATTTTAAAAAAGTAACAAACACTAAAAAAAAGTGACGAAAACCCGATTACTTTTTTGAGTGAATTGTATCACTTTTTAATAAAAAGTTAAGTGTAATGTCACTTTTAATATCAATTTTTAATAAAAAAAAATGACATATAATATCACTTTCATTAAAAAGTGAGGTGAAATACAATGTCACTTTTATTACAAAG